ACCAGACGAATAGAAGCCCTGTACCTCGTAGACTCGTCCTCTATTATTGAAACGTGTTGATGTAAAGATAAAAACTTTACTTAATGTCTACCATAGAAGCAAACTTTCTGTTTTCTTATATATATTCGTAGTGGTATTTTGTGTCTTACGGAATATTGTGACTGTAATAGTTGAAAGAATTATTTTCTCTTAGTCACAATCTTTTTTCGTATGGAAATGTAAAAATTTCTAGAAAATTCCAGTGCAACTACATCATTTCTTTTCTGTATGCATACGTTATAAACAACGTCGGGGAGGACGGGGATTTTTTATTAAATTACACTAGCACTGGGGTGTTGTGACAAATAGTCAGTGTTTTGCTCCTGAGTCGTTCATATGCTGAGGCGACCGCTCCAATAAAATACGTGTGACATTTCACCCCACACTCCCCCTCAGTGTCCACCGCAAACCACCTAAAGCTTTTTGTACCATTGCAATTGTGTATGTAAACATTTTACCGTCGTATTTCTGTTGAATTGCTCAATAAATAAGAATTTAAAATATAAAACGATTAAAATGGCCTTAATTATAGACTTGTGTAAATAAGAATCACGTTAATATCCTTAATCGGTATTATGTTCCGGAATATCAAACAATGTTTGGTTTGTCGGAGTTTTAAGTAGATCACTGATGTAAATTAAAATTAGTTTCAATTACACCATAAAATGTATAATACAAATAGAATATAAACAAAATAGAAGTTTATTTATACAGTGCTGCCAAAAATAAACTATTTTTAGTAAAAAAAATAAAGTTTCTGCTGGTATACGTAATTTAATTCCCGGTGAAAATATAATGTAGCTTATGAACAAGCTCTCCGTTTTACTAACCACTGCGCTAATGAAATTATACCCCCGTCACTCAGACAATATTTAATCCTTATTTAAAAGCACGAGAATATTTTAAAATACATTTTTTTATTTAATGTGTGTATTTAGAAGACCTTTACAGTAAGATAATTTTTATATCTCGAGTATTTCAAACCCAGTAAACTTGTAAAACAATAAAATGTAAAACGACGGGGTTTTTTTTATATAAATTTTCGACGCCTAGCATTTATTATATTATAGTAACGTTATTTTTACTTAAATACAATGTTTTGTAACTGGTTTTCTGCTAGTTTCAGACATGACGGGATCCTTTAACAAGTCTAGTTACTCTGCTTTGGTGTCACATGGTTACAATTTGGAAGGTTAACATAATTGGAGCTGACATATAGACGACTTAAAAAAGGGGGCGAGTCTCAATTAATTTTTATGGTTTCTTGATATGGTTGTTACCCTTCGAACTCAGTTATTTAGAATCGATTCGATGAAATCATAATGATTATTTAAAAGTGTATACTTTCCCTTTTTGGTCCCATTCATTTGAAGATAAATACCACCCCTAAGGGTAGAAAATTAATGAATGAAGAATACAGTTTATTACAATTCATCAGGGTATGGGTGCATTGAAGTCGATGATAGGTTTTAAAGGTAATTTTTGAAAACCATAAACTATTCGAACGTCATCAGCATCATCAACAGCCTTTAATAGTCCACTGCGGGACATAGGCTTCTCCTTAGAAAGTAGGCTTTGGCGTATTGGAACGTAAGTTAATAATTTTCTTTCACCGACAATTGTTGAGGGAACGTATGAAAAAACATTTAGCCTAACTTTAAAGCGCCCTCTCAATTTATTAATATTGCACCAAAAAAGGCACGTTACAAGTTTCCATAAATAAAGCCTTGGTCCCATTATAATCTCGTGAAACGAATTGTTTATTTAGCAAGCCAAACCCCGCAGTTCAAAAACACAATATTATATAATAAAGGGCAGAGCCTAATTTATTTTGTTGTTTTTTATTATCAAAGTTTAATTAAAAACTGTTGTAAAGGTAAAAGGAGTACATCTTTTGGCACGTTAAGGTTGTATACAGAAAAAAATCCTGATAATTTTCTTCTTCCTGTCTGAGAAGGTATCGGGTAGTTCAATAAATAATTGAATTTCGAAATATCATATTGCAATAGTTGATTAAGACCACGGTAGAGTATCCAATCAAGTTTATGTCATCCACAATCATGTAATCACTTGCTTTTATTTGGTATCTACAACATTTTGTAAATATATTTTTCCTTGATTGCAATTCGAAAATATATCAAAACAACATTTTAATTGCATTGTATGCTACATACATCAACAGCCTATAATAGTCCACTGCTGGACATAGGCCTCGTCTTAGAAAGGATATTTTGGCCTACTATACCACGCTGGCCAGAAGGAATATGCCAGGTTGGTATATTCCTTCTCTTTGCAGTGCTGTTGTCCTGCGAAGTCTGGTCCCTTAGTCGGCTCTTACGACACCCACGGGATGAATAGGGGTGCTGACATTCCGTATTCTTAATCCGTCACCACACGGATAATTGGTTAGTAAATTGTTAGCATTGTATGCTAACAATTTACTAACTAATATATATGTATAATATGAATGTATCGTAACATTGATATCACACTTCCACAATATAACTATATAGTGATGTACACATCACGTGTAATAGGTTTATGACACTAAAACAATACAGTCACTAAAGAAGAACTAAAGAAGTGAACTGTAGCCACGTCCCAATTTTACATTAATAACTAGATTTGCGTAAAACGTAGCGCAATATAAAACTAATGCATTATTCGTTATAAAGCATTCATATATTTGTAATAAAGCGAACGAAGACATTTGTATCTTGTAAGAATTTTATATTAAAAATGCTAGAGCCTTGTAGTAACAACATTCACGATGTGTAAACATTTGACATCTCACCTATCAATTCAGCCAAATGCGTGATCTATATAAACAATTACCTTGTTATTGGGAACGTTTTCCCTGGCTTCCTATTACACACATCCTTCCCAGTTCACTCAAACATTGCAGGAAAAGGACAGTTGTTAGACGTCAAGTTCTAACACATTCATGCAATAACTGCACCCGATTCAGAGTGACCCAAAGCAGATAATCGTCAAATATACTGAATCTGTAATTTAGATATTATATATTATGTAAGACAAGGTCAGCACATGATCAGTGTTTGTCTTATGTTTGGCGGCCATCCAAACGAGTGCAGGAGCGTTGTAATTACACTGTATGGCGCGCTAATTGTTTGTTATGTCCCTCTAATCTTTTCCCCTGCTACTAACTCAAGTCTTGGCTAAAACAGATTCTTTTAGTTTTTTTGCTCTACCCTCATTATTTGGCGCGTTTACGATGTAGTTACAAAGATATCTGTACCATTGTTTGTAGTTGATACTATTCTATCGCAAGCATTGCAAATAGTTTGGTTATTTCTTTGAATGGAAATGGAAACTATTGTATTTCGAATCTGAGGTACAAATTTAAGTCTGTTAGTGTAATGTAGAAGTTTTAATACACACAGGTTCAGCAGAGAGTGATAATTATTACGAAATACAGAATTTTTACTAAGTATTAAGGCTAGCTTATGTATAGTTAAGTCTGCCAAGTGGGGTCCCGATGTCTTAATAACAGCAGTTTCCAGATCCCTTGTATTTCAGTAGCAGAGTGGCACACCTTGTGGTTTTAGTCGGTCTGATTTCGACACACTACCCCGCCGTAAACCCCGGTGGGGTGAAGGCCCGGAGAGATTTCCACACGTAAAATAAAATGTTTAGTAAAATCTAATTAGGAGCTTTTATGCATTCGCTGAAATTATTGTAGAAAGCAATTGAACCAGTCTTCCTTAGGGACCTCTTCAATGACTTCATGAAACGCATTCACCGGCGATTGAGGGCTCATAAAACGTGTGCCTCTAAGTTTTTCTTTAATTTTTGGAAACAAAAAGAAGTCGCACGGTGCGAGGTCCGGGCTGTAAAACAGATACGCACCGGTTCCACATTTGAGGCCTTTAAATAGGTTTCTGTTACCTTAGTGGAATGTGAGGATGCGTAATCGTGGTAAAGGAGGACATTGCTTCGAGGAAGCTTTTCGCAATTTTTTTCTAAAACTCTGAGCAAGCAAGTATTGACGTACCAATCTGCAGACACTGTCCTTTGATCTTTAAGCGATGTAGTGTAATGTCCTGATTTGCCGAAAAAAGAAGCAACCATTTCTTCGAATTTTCTTAACTTTCGTCGGCAAATCTTCAATAGGATAGACCCAATAGAATACACAGAGCTGCTACATGCTGCGACTCTGGCAACTCTCTTGTTGACTTAAGCCACAACGAAAATCATATAAAAACATTGAATGAAAATGTTAAATTCAATTTAATAGCAACACATAATTTTCGAAAGGACAACACAATTAAAAAACAAATGACAGTCTCGCAAATTAAAAAGTAACATGTACCCAAAGAGTTCCATTTTCGAATTCCATAATTGAATTTCATTCTTTTTTTGTAAGTGGCCAGATCCAGAGACTCAGTATGTCATAGCAAATTAATCATCAATCTAATGTTTTTTATGTAGTTTTGTTTTCATAATTTTATCTGTGACATTTTTTATATTTGCATGCTATCTAAATATAGCGAAATGTGTCTTGTGCTTCCAATATTATAAACCACCTACTATAACTACCACATTTTCTACAAATAAATAATATTATTTATTTTAGTAAACTGAAAAATGTCAATGAGAACGAACAAACTGAGGCTGAATCAACAACGGACAACAGATTTATAATAGACACTTTTTTTTTTCGTGCCGAAATCCCCTCGGATACCACCGTCATCACATGTCGGTGGCATGTCGGACTCGAACCGACTAAAACCGCACGCCGTCTCGGGTACTAATAGCCGGGGAACCAGGTATACCCTAGAAAGGAAGTCCCTGGTACCCCGACATTTTATATTAGACACTAAGGTGTCTATTATAAAACTGGGCGATGCGCCAATATCCAATTTTATCATAAAATTTCAATAAAAGCATTACTTATATAGAACTAGACATTTAAAAATCAAACTTTCAAATTGTTTCAGGTCCGATGGTTCGAGCAGCAGCGCGAAAAGCGCAGAGTGAAGCGCGACTATTCGCCATACGAACGCGCCTCATTTTCACAACTCTCGCGGCGGCTGCAGTCACACCGTCCACATTATCGCGCTTTGAATTCCGGCTTGTTCTTCCCAGATCCACTGTTCAAAGAGCAGTGGTACTTGGTACGTAGGATTTTTAAACTATACTTTCGATATCATCGCACGCTGAGTAAACTACCAAAGACACATGCATGCATTATTATGCCATCTATGAACTGAGATTTGAACTAATGGAATATGTGAAACTAGGTTCCTTTAAAGAACATAAATGGCGAATGCAGTAGCAAAAGTTACATAATCATTGATGGGCCAGAAGAATATTTGTTTAATTTTTAAATTAAACAGAAAAAATGGTTGTTTTATTTTTGTAAAGATCTAATAAAGTTAAAGCAAGGTTCCATGTACAGTGTAAAACAAACGACCCTTTAAAAACTCAAAAAGAAAACTTATTCAATATCCATTTATTTATACTGATGATAGTCTGGCGGTCGAGAATTAACCGTTATCAATGTCTTGCTTTATTTTATTGACCAGCGTAAGTTGAACTACCATTTTACAGACTTTTGAACCATAATCATCTACCTACCCGTTTCTGAATTTATTTGGGTTCGGCAAAGAGTTCGCTTCTTTAATTCTCCTCTATCACTCGACATTCTCTTTCACTTACACACACATACTTTTAGCTTTTTTCTTTTAAGGAATTTTGTTCATGGGAATGCAATCTTTTTGTGATAAGTCGCAGTTGTTGCTTCGTGCAACGCTTTGTGGTTTAATGTGATTATTCAAAGCATACTGATGTATCCAAAGCTGAATCTCATCTTTCAAACTTTTGAACCATAATAGATTATCTATATACAGGACCACTAGGAATTTTTGTTGCCGTTTTTACATATCTTAAAGAATGAGATTAATTCATTAAGTAATGCCAGTTACATATTCTTCTCAAATAGCGTTTCCCTGAAATTGCGTTCCAAAACTTTTTCTCGTGTGTTAATTACGAGTACAATCACTTTTTAACAACTTACCATGATGAAGAGGTTAGCACTAGACCGCTATTTCTGCAAGACTTCAGAAGACGTTTTTGTACAGCAGTAGACGGCTAAGATGATCTTATCATACATAGAAGCAGCCTTCCCTTGGCACCTTTGTATCTATTATATATAGTGTTATTTCAATAATTTTGCTTTATACAGAATGGAGGTGCAAAGGATGGCCTAGACATGAACGTATCACCGGCGTGGCAGAAAGGATACACAGGCAAAGGTGTCGTCGTGTCGATCTTAGATGACGGAATACAGACCAACCACCCTGACTTGTTGCAAAACTATGTGAGTACTCATCTTATAATTAAGTGTAGTAATACTAAGGAGCTCTGGCAATAACGAAGTTTGGATAAATTTTATTCAGATTTTGCCAGATTTGGTTTGCCGTTCATCCTGGTACGTTCATTATCCATCAACTCTGAACCCGAAAGTAAGAAACTAAATTATTTTATTGAGCATTTTTGTCCGTTCCTACGTTATGTTATTTTCGTTAAGTGTTTTATTTAAAAAGTACTACTATTACTGACAAATTTAAGTTTAATGTTTTTAGATTTTTATTTAGGTAAGTATATCTTATCAAATATTAAACACAACTCATAACGATCACTGTTGTTTTAACGTATTTACGTTAAAATTATATGGGAACTAGTACACGAAGTCCTTTTTTGCCAAGAGCGGTCTAAATACCAAAGTACCTACGTGTTTTTAATCTCTCCACTTTCGATTTTTTCTTAAAGATTTTGAGGCCAGTGAACTGTGCAGACAAAGAAAACAAACAGTTAGGCTGAACACGTGTAAAGTACATTCTATGAATTATGTATATTTTTTACATAAAGACTGAACACCTAAATTGTTTCCTCTATTTGTTTGTACAGATTGTAACTCAGAGCTAGTCAGATTTTTATGACACCACTTTGTTGTTGAAAGCCTCACACACCAGTAACATAAACAATAACTTGAAGCCATTACACGAGGAAAAAGAGCAATGAAAAAGTTGTATTTTTTATTTAGCCATATTTCATTTGAATTGTGAAAATCGCGACGTGTGCCGCGCCTAAAATGTAACATTGAACGAATATGTCGAAGTACAGAATTATATGAAATGTATGTTCGAATTTCAAACTATTTTTAACATGCTTTTATTAGCTTGGTATGTACGAGTATGTAACGGAATCTTCGAACGCGATTTTGACCTACTTCAAAACGTCAAATTAAATTTATAAAAATTAATAAACGACTTTTTTCATGCCTAAAAATACAGTAGTAGCATTTTTTCGATTAAATTATTTTTCTTTTCAAACTTACGGTACTAAACAACTTTACTAGTACGACTAATTACTAAAGCGTGTTTTCTTGTTTTTTAAACTATAATTTATTACCCGATATATTATGTACATAAAAATGATTTAAACTTAAGTCCAAGTTCCCCCAGAATCATGGGCAAAGGGAGGTTTTGACTCCGATTACCTCACTCACTCAGTGAAACGCAACGAAAGAACAGCAGTGCTATTCTCTGAGGAAACAGTCTTGCATACAGCGCTGCCACTTCGAACTTCAACGCAACTTTGTTTAAAATTCGACTCTGTAAATAGAATATCACTGCCAGAGAATAGCATTGCTGCTTAACACCGGTTTTTTGTGAGATCGTGCTATTAATCCGGTCGAGCCTTGCCCAAAGCTCTCTCCTACGATAGGCTAGGAGAGAAATGAAAAAAAAGTACGATGTTACATAACAGCAAACAAAATCGGATGTATATTATAGGATTTATTTTTCCTTTAATCAAAGCGACGAGTCATTGAGTCAACAGGAGCCCAAAAAAACATATCGATAAGCGAAGCATGTATAAGCAAGTATTGGTGTTTGCCCGCATTTTAGACATTTTACATTCGAAAATATAAATGTTGCCAATACAATATACACCGTGACCACTGAATGTTAAATAAAAAGATATGTCATACCTTTCTATACATAACTATATCTCTTAGTAAGTTTGATTACCTAATCATCTCATTCATTTGAAATACCAAATATACTTACATAGACATAATGTGTTGTCCTAGGATTCACTATGCCCGCAGTTTAGGTCATAGCGGATCGTTCCCAGAACAGTCGAGTCAAAATCACCAAGGTGCAAAATCAGCTTTACTTGAAAATAACTGCCTCAGTGCGTTTTTTTTTAAACAAATTAGTATTTGTAAATACTGTAAAGGGTTCATATTAACCGTACCTCATATATTATACTTCAAAAGTAAAACATATTCATTATTATTTGAAGAAATAACTACAAAAAATCATTTCGAGAACGCGTCCTAAGTAGCAATCTTTAGAAACTAACACCGGAAATATACATAAAATAATTTTCTTCTTACTTATTAGCCTTAAATTTTATCTACTATTAAGTAATTATATGCATTATTAAAGAAAGGAATGAAACTAAAGATAATTGAGTCAAAATATTATGTCCGACAATGTAAGCGTCATTTGAGTGAACACAGTTTTGATTGCCCGAAAATATTGTGTTTCTGAACGTGGCCTGTAGATGTTTATGGTGCAGTGTAATGAAATATGTAAACAAAGTGGCTGTCAAGAAAGTTTCTCGCCAAAATAATTAAAAATAAGTGGTAAGTACCTTTCGATTCATTATTTACAGAGCGTACATCAATAGGTCATCATACCGGGAATGCGTTTATTAACTCAAAATGAATGAAAAATACGTATAATAGTGTCTATAACGAATAGTAATCGCAAGTATTTTACATTAATTAAACCAAACATGATGTCAAAGATTTAAAACTTTTAAATAAAGGCGCGTTTATTTATAAAAGTCATTTCGAGAACGGTCATTTCGGGAACGTGCCCGGATTTGACGGAGTATTCTCGAAATGATGATGCCGTTCTCGAAATGACTTTTTCATTATCAAACTGACATCTGTTACAACTATTGGTTAATTAATTTAGTGAATGTTGTACTAACGTAGTTTTTAATAAATGTTTCATTTTTTTAGCAATATGGAGTCTCATGATGTTTCAATAAATAAAAACGTTCGAAAAAGCACCTTCACAAAAATAGTTCAGCTTATTTGCGCCAACGACAAAAAGCTAATGCCAGAAAAAGCAAATTTTTAGATAAGATGACAGAGGAAGAGAGAGAAATTAAAAGGGCTAAGGATAGAGCATACCATTAACAAAAAAGCTGAAAAGAAAGTTAAAAATATTACTCAGATGACTCACAGAGAAAAGCGAAAGCAAAGGAAACTTTTGAAAAATGCATCATAAAACACAGGGAGAAGAACAAGGCATTATGAAGTATAACAAGCAATTCTCCACCACATTGCGGTGATGATTTAGCTGCCACACCTTCAGTAAGAAGAACAGTGGGATGAAAAAGTATGCGTAAGGATAGAGCCTAAACGTACCGTAAAATAAAACAACAGGAGAAAAACAATTGCTGAAATTAAACATAAATATGAAACTTTAATGAAAAGACTAAGAAGAAAAGAAAAAAGAGGACAAAGTTCAGGTACCAAGTACTTCTAACAGTAAAGTTGATGTAATGATAAAATGTCAACACACCTCCTGAAGTGCGCAAGAATATTGCATAGAGAGGGAAATCTTCCAGAAATGTGTTAGCGGTAATATGGTGAGGAAATATGAAAATATGGAATTACTTCATATGGCTAAGAGTTTTTTGCCAAAAGAGAGAACCATTACATCGCTTCTGAAGTCTGATACCAAAATTCGTAAGGTTGTTTTTTAAGCCTGAAGTTTGTCAAAAAGTTAAAGATTTCTTCCAAAGAGATGATGTCAGTCGGATGTGTCCAGCCAAGAGAGATTTTGTAAAGAAAAACTATATTAACAAAAAAGCGTCTCCTTCTATTCTCAGTTAAAGAACTGACGTCAAAATTCGTTAGGGAAACTGGAATAAATTTGTCTTATGCGACATTATTAAGAGCTAAACCATTTTGTGTAGTAGCTCCAAAATTAAGAGACAGAATCTTGTTTATGTGTTAAACACCAAAATTTTGAGTTTAAAGTGAACAAATTACAATAATTGCAATAGATTAATCACGGAAGTGTAGAGAAAATGATTGAGTATTATAGTTGCGATATAACATCTTATGACTGCATGAATGGTTCGTGTGATAAATGTAAACATCCAATGTTTGAGCTAACTGATAATACTGATTCTGTGACATATTTTCAATGGATTTGTGTTATTGAAGAAAAAACTGTAAAAGGCGAGAATAAGAAATTTAAGATCACAAATAGGTTGCAATGTCAAGTACAGTCAAAGAATTAAAAATGGCTTTTATTGAAGATATTCCAGTTATGAAAAAACATCTGTATGGCATCTACAGATACAACAAACTGATCTGAACTGAAAACAGAACTAAAAGAAAATTTAACTGAAGAAGAGGTAATGATACAGATAGACTTTTCGGAGAATTACACATTCATTGTATTCATACGGGCGTACATTATATACGAAACTTTGAGAATGGTTTACAATCTAAATCGTTTGCTACCGTAAATTCGGATCATCAAGCCCATGCGATGTGGGCTCACATGAATCCAATCCTACAAACAATATTAGAAAAAAAAGATATTAACACCCTTCAAATCTACTCTGATGGTCAAACATCACAATACCGCAGCCGAACTAATATACATATCTGGCTACAAACATTAATAAATGGATTCAAACAGATAACAAAAGCTTCTTGGACGTATAGTGAACTCTCTAAATGACGATATGCGTCATTTAAAGAACACGTGCATCATTCCGTGAACACCTCATCATTTTCGGGAACATTACTACACAGTCACAGATAACACATTATTAATTTAGATAATTTAAAAAGTCACTGGCAATATTAAAATAAGGCGAACTTCTAATATCGTAAGCCTATTTACTTTAATATACGTCAACAATTATGGCATATTTAGTTAATTTTATATTAGGAAATAGTCCAATAGCTCCATTTGTAGCAATATTTTGTTTCTAAACGCTTTTATTTGCAATTTCTTTAGAGTTTTTTAATTTCTTATTAATAACTGCTTACTGCCGCTAATATACAGAATCTAGAGAAATAGTTAAGTTATATTTTAATTTTATTATAAGTCTTACAAAAACGTTCCCGGAATGATTGTTTTCAGTGACAGCTCAATTGAAAAATAAAATTACAAGAGTAGTACTTTATTCTATGCTCTGCCAACGTACACATTTGTTGAAACACAAGTTTAGTGAACATCTAAGCTTATTATCAATGTAATAGCTGTTAAGTATATTCATCATAAAACAGAACTCGGAATTTTCCACCTTGGTGATTTTGACCCAGTCATACTTCAGAAAGATTGATGAACGTTATATATACAGATAATGTTATCTAACAGTTGTTGTAGAGGTCTAGACCACTAAAGATAAGCTGCCCGCATGTTAACTATGAACTTTGTAGGCTTTGCCATAAATTAACATTGTTAAACCTGTTAGTAATACGAGTATGTATATGGATAGTAATTACTTATATATATATATATATATATATATATATATATATATATATATATATATATATATATATATATACATGTTCATTTATATCTGAAAGAGCTAAATGAAAATTGCCTTAACCGTTTTCGTGAAGGAGTGATTCTCAATCCTTCAAAATTTATTGACAGGGACGATATCAATCCGAGATCTCCGATGTTGATATTTTTGTTTGTTAAAATAAACAAGACAACTCTTTAACATAAAGCGTCTCCTCAAAACCTTAGTAATTCAACGATACAGATTTGTAACTCTTGTAATATAATGAAATAAATTCTCATGAAAAGAAAACTACAGAAGAAGAAGAAATGGACATGTGTTCGATCGAAAATAAACAATCACCAACTGTTAATTAGACAAGAGACGTTATAGACTTCTGACATCAAACTCAGATATCACCAGACTATATAGTCTGTCTGTGTAGATTTGGTCTGGGTGTTTTATGTATAATATGTATGTATTTACAAAAAAAAAGTTTTCAGTTGTCTAGTACCCATAGTACAAGCTTTGCTTACTTTGGGACTACATGTTGTGTGAATGTGATAGAATATTATTATTATTATTATCTTACTATCAGCAGAACGATAATCATAATATGGTGCTGTTTTAAACTGTAAAATAATACCTACACGAAACAAAATGCATAATCGTGATTTAAATAAGGTAAAACACTGTACATATATTGCTTAAGAAACTTCGTGAAAATTATCCAACTCGATTACTTCATATGGTCATAGTCGGCGATATAAATAGACCATATTACATAATTTCATGTGGGTGTCCAATTTCTACGTGGGTAAAATTAACATTTATATTCCTTTATAACGGAATACCACCATCATAAATTTGTCTGTCAGGATAAAATTTTCATAATGCCCTTCCTAATTTTAATAAAATCTACCTGCGTAATGTTGTTTATGTACGTTTTAAAATCGCGTCGTCAACTGTGGAAGCAGAAAAAATGCTAGACATGTTTATCGGAAGACAAATATTAATTTTGAATTATGGTATGAATTTATCTATTTTATCATTAATAATTTTTATACACAGCCGTTATGCACTACAAACAGTTAGTATAATAATGGCGGAAATAATAATGATTATCGAGGAAATAATATAAATTTGATGGTGTATATGGATAAGGTCTACCCGTTTAAGTACTCGTATTAGCTTACCATCAATGTTCTTCACTGACAGAATGGGTCGAAAGTGATCTGATATGGACTAAATCAATCAACTTCTAAAAACTAGCTGTAGGCTGATAAATTGGGGCCTAATAATTTGTTTTAATAGAGATAGCAATCACTGAATTGTACGACATTTCTTGAATTCAATTAATGAAAACAAGGGCTCGATGAGATGGATTGAAATTCATGGAATTAATTTTATCCTCGACATTCGACGACTCATGAAATTGACAATATTGACATAGTCTTTATTAGTTTATGGGTATTTTTTTCAATTAGCTATCTATATCCTGTATGTTCGGTATTGAAATAACCATGTAACAGGATTTTGTTTCAAATCAACAAATGCCTGCGGCGCCCACCCTTTTGAAAATTGGTTTTCGCATGCTATGCGTTCTCTTCTTGTTAATCCGGGTTGCAATTTATTTATGTACCTAATTTAGCTTAGTTTATTAATCATGGAAACAAAAATAAGTACTAAAAAAGCATTATCAGTTTTTCAAGCAAATTTTCCTGTATTAGTTTTCATTAGTAACAAAAGACGAAATTAAATACATTTTTTTTCTTATGTTACTAAGTCGATAAATAAAACAGAGTCTGCTGGTGACAAATAGTTAGCAATACCCATAAAACTAAATACACCAATTACTCTCGTTTTACCAATTCTATCCCAACTATTTTATGGACTTCCATCCACGATCGGTCCTATACGTCAGCAGTATTAAAAAACTACGCCAAAAATGCTGGCTAAGTGAGATCTTCTGTAGAAATGAAGAACTTCTTTTATTCGTAATTTTAATTCAAAAAGAAATCTTCTGTGAAAATACACATATTACTAGAATTACAATTCTGGGGTGATAGCAACAACAATTTTAGTGATAAGTCTAAAAATTATAAATAAATATTGATGTATTAATAGGTACACTTAATTATAAAAAAGATTCTGACGAATTGGGAACCTCCTCCTTTTTTTAAGTCAGTTAATAATGAGACTTGATTTGAGTGTATGTTTTCTGTATACTTGCCAAGCTACATATATGTTATATTTTATGTTGTAAGTGCTTCAAGTAGTTCGTAGATCTAGATCTTATCAATAAATTTGTTAACAAACTGTCGGTACCTACATCTCAAAAAGGCATAAGATTATTGAAAGCCATGTCCTTTGGGTAGGCTAAATTGAACTAATTCTTAGCACACTTGAGAGTATTGTTTTGTTCCAGGACCCGAACGCGTCAACAGACATCAATGGTAATGATGACGATCCTATGCCACAAGACAACGGAGACAATAAGCATGGAACAAGATGTGCTGGAGAGGTTGCTGCAGTTGCGTACAATCAGTATTGTGGCGTTGGCATCGCTTACAATGCTAGCATTGGGGGCGTTAGAATGTTAGACGGAGTTGTAAATGATGCGGTTGAAGCCAGAGCTTTAGGTCTAAACCCAGACCATATAGATATCTACAGCGCTTCTTGGGGACCTGAAGACGATGGTAAAACCGTTGATGGACCAGGGCCATTAGCAAGAAGGTAAGTATTAAAGTCCTTTAAAACCAACATTTCTGAATTGTACTTTATGAAGTAAAATCAAATTTATTTTGTAGAGCTTTCATCTACGGAGTCACCAGTGGGCGTCGTGGTAAGGGATCTATTTTTGTGTGGGCATCAGGAAATGGCGGAAGACATACAGATTCTTGTAACTGCGACGGTTACACAAACAGTATATTTACTTTATCAATCTCTAGTGCAACGCAAGGTGGATATAAACCTTGGTACCTAGAAGAGTGTTCATCTACTCTAGCTACTACATACAGTTCGGGAACACCAGGACACGACAAAAGTGTTGCTACCGTAGACATGGACGGCAGATTACGCTCTGATCATATTTGTACAGTAGAACATACTGGAACTTCAGCTTCAGCTCCTCTCGCTGCTGGTATTTGTGCCTTAGCCCTAGAAGGAAACCCAAACCTGACTTGGAGAGATATGCAATACTTAGTAGTCATGACATCACGGCCACAACCATTAGAAAAAGAGGGAGGTTGGATTGTAAACGGTGTCAAGAGGAAAGTTAGTCACAAATTTGGTTATGGTCTAATGGACGCCTCAGAAATGGTTAGCTTAGCAGAACAGTGGGTTACAGTACCACCGCAACATATTTGTAAGTCACAAGAAATCAATGAAGATAAACAAATAGACCCTAAATTTGGTTACACCTTGACCACGCATATGGACGTAAACGGATGTAGCTCAACAGTTAACGAAGTACGTTATCTTGAACATGTCCAATGTAAGATCTCCTTGAGATTCTTCCCAAGAGGTAATTTACGCATTTTATTAACATCCCCAATGGGAACTATATCAACTCTTCTATTTGAGAGACCACGTGATGTCGTCAGTTCTAACTTTGATGATTGGCCTTTCCTTAGCGTTCATTTCTGGGGTGAGCGCGCTGAAGGTAGATGGAAATTAGAAATCGTTAACGGTGGAAATAGACATGTCAATCAGCCTGGTATTCTGAAAAAATGGCAACTTATTTTCTACGGAACAGCTGTTGATCCCGTGAGACTAAAATCGAAAAGACCATCGCAAGTTGCCCCACCATTTGCATTCCCAACAGCTGCAGACGGCTATGAAGCCATGGGTGATTCTTTTTACAACACGGATGCGTTTGCTAATTACCAAAACTTTCCTAATTTATTCGCCGCGGGTTCAGATCCCGAAAAGGCTGTAGCCCGTCTCGACGGACATAATGTCCCTTCTCCACATGGGGAAAACGTTCTTGCTGATAGTAATGATAAGCGCGTAATGCACGATTGTGATCCTGAATGTGATGCTCAAGGATGCTATGGAAAAGGTCCTACTCAATGTATTGCTTGTAAAAACTGCCGTTTAGATGACGCATGTGTTTCTCGATGCCCACCACGGAGCTATGCTAACAAAGGTGGCGTGTGCTGGCCATGTCACGAATCTTGCGAAACCTGTGTTGGACCCGGACAGGATTCATGCTTAACCTGTGCGCCTGCTCACTTATTAGTGGCGGATTTAGCCGTGTGTCTTCAACAATGTCCGGATGGCTACTGGGAGGATACCCAATCTTCTGTCTGTCGGCCATGCGCTGCCCACTGCGCAACTTGTTCTGAAAAAGCAGACGGTTGCACATCTTGTGAACACCACTTAGTTCTTCACGATGGAACGTGTTTAGCTTCTTGCCCGGCCTCTCATTTTGAAACTGAAGATTATATGTGTGCAAAATGCCATGAATCGTGCGACACCTGTGAAGGGCCAGGAGAAGCTCAGTGCGTGACTTGTCACCCGTCGACCTACTCTTTAGATGGACGATGTGCTACGTCGTGTCCATCAGGATATTATGCCGACAAAAAAAGGAAGGAATGCATGAGGTTTGTAATTGTTACATTAAATGCGACTTTTGCTTAAAGTTTTACGGAAAAATCATACTCTAATATTTTAGGTGCCCTGTCGGTTGTTCAACATGCACAAGCGCATTCTGCTTAACATGTGAATCGAATTGGGAGCTTAATAAAAAAGGAAAATGCGTACACGCTGGCACTGACAAGTGTGGTGCGGGTGAATATCCAGAGGGACAGATATGCAAAAGATGTAACGATGCCTGCGATTCGTGTTATGGTGAAAACGACAACGATTGTTTGACCTGTCCAAATTCTAATTTACTCCAGGATTACAAGTGAGTTAAAATCATTTAAAAATAATATTTGTACCAGACCGATTTCAATTTAGATCTGCGGCATAAAATATTTAAAGGAGAGCGTGTTTAACAAACTTTCAACTTTTCTATAGATGTGTGTCGGAGTGTACCAGGGGCTACTATCCGGAGGCGGGTCGTTGTGCACGCTGCATGCACGGCTGTTCGGAGTGCGTATCACGTCTGAACTGTACATTGTGTGGAGGATCCTTACGTCTTCAGTCTGGAGCTTGCCGGACATCCTGCGCTGATGGGTATGTCAAAAATACACTGATTATGATATGTAAGGCAGACCTGGTCAAAAAGTTTACTTTATGCGCAATCAGATCCTATACTCTAACTACTACTAAAACGTTTATCACTGCAGTAAACATTCAATGGTTCATTCTCGAGCTACCTCCTTATTGGCCCCCATTGAAACTTTAGCGCCCAAGTTCAAATTACGTCGTCGTTCGCTATTGAACTGAAATATAGAACATACGTATTTCTTGCGAATACATATTTGTATGTCTCTAACGAGTATCCTTTCTTTTCTAAAATAGAAATCATGAAGTAGTTTTGCAAAGTATTGTAGGTATACGTTATCCTAAATGAAATTTGTTCAAAAGTAACAACGGCTTTACTACGAATAATTTTCACTCAGCGCTGTCCTTAACAAAGCGGTCCAATGAATGTTTCCAAGAGTTATTTTAGCCGTTTTCCTCAAATATGTTTTTGTTCGGCTTCCATCATTCCCTATCCACAGTACGTTTCACTTCAATCGAAACCTCAATTCTTTTTATTTCTTTGTTAAATTTTTGTTCTTTTTACGGACACAAACCTTCAATTCGTATGGGTTTCAAAAGAAACCAGGTTAGATTAAAGCGTAAATATAATCAATACAGATTTCTGTTTAAACTGAACCGACTGAGGTTATACCTCTACGTTATAAAGGACTGCGGACTATGAACGTAATGGATTTTTGCTTTTGATTAATGTGATCGCCAAAATTCCATGGTAACGTAACGTTCTCTACTTACCAGTAATCACTTCTGTCAGGACATTTATATAATTGTGAACTTAGTCAAAAAGCTATAGTGAAACACATGAAAGGAAGTTAAAATTGATGGTGACAACGAGGTCGTAGATATAAAAAAAAACAACTTTAGGATTCGTAAGTTTTTCGAAATAAACAACAAAACAGCGGATGACTCATTCAGAAAGTATAAAGAAAAATACTAATATAGCTTTGGATTGTATTGTAAATTTCCGTAAGCTCTTAATGCTTCATTTTGTAAAGGTTTTCATTGTGTTATTTAGGTCAATACAGTAATACAAACTTGGCAAGTTAACTTTTTAAATGTTTTGTTCGTAAAGCCGTGTAACTTTATTCCGTAGGTACTTTTTGTTTAGAACGAAATATTTTTTCTTTCCTTTGATCTAAAAGGTCTTGAAATGTAAGGTCAGATTTAGCTTTGGACATAAAAACCGCCTACGTGCGCTTTATACTTGCCATAATCATCTCTGCGCATAACTCTTCGTCGTCTAAATTGTCATGGTTAATTTGAAAGAATTGGAAAAGCGAATTATTTCTAGTACTAAATTTTTTCAGGATAGAAATATATAAAATGCATGTACAAAATTTAACAATAATGTTAATTGATGTTAACTATGTTGCGCAATACTTAACTTGTTTATCCATGCAGGTACTATGCTGATCGCGGCACTTGTTCCAAGTGTTACCTATCTTGCCGTACATGCATCGGCCCGCGACGGGACCAGTGTGCTTCATGTCCTGAAGGATGGAGACTCGCCGCAGGAGAGTGTCATCCGGAGTGTCCTCAAGGTAAAAACAGAATGTTATACTCTATCAAGTTCTGACTTTCATATGTGTGCCTGTTTGTGAAGATTGGTTTCAACTGAATATTATAACTTCCCAAATCGTAGGACAAAATAAAAAAAGAATAGGAATAAGAACGGATTCAATGATTTCCTCATAACTGAATTCAATAATAGCCAAAGGTTCAAGCGAGCTCTCTGCGAGCTATTGTCGACGGGAATATCACATAATAAATATGTGTTTATCTCGGGTTAACCGAATGATTAGCGGTCGATGTGTAGCACAATAGATTAAATTAATGGAGATGTTTCGGGAAACAACAAAGCGGATTATGATATAGATATAAATGGACAGCTTCGCGTAGGATTGGCAAGCCTATGTTGTTGTCTACTTAATCCTTTATATACAGAAATATTTCTGGCAAATATAAAAACAAATCGTGTTATTTGATATATGCTTGACGCAATTTCGGAATGTTAGATATCTGCTAACCATTAAAACCGACAAAAAACCTTATCGCTTTCTAACTTTATGATTATTTTTTCTGTTATAATTTACATTAAATACAACAGTATAATATGTAAGGTTTAATTATTTCAATATACTTTTATATACGCAGGTTGTGATAAATACTTGATCTTGATCATGGAGTGCGTCTTACCTGAAAACAACTGACGAGTACATATGGATCCTTATTTTGCCTTACCTCTGCCCGTCATTGGTTTTACTGAACTATATGTATGCTAAGACCGTTGACAATTTCATCATAAAATTCCTTCAGTGTCCTTATTTTTTTTTTATTAAAACTAGATATAAGCTTACCTCGTAATATATTACTCCTTGAAATTGGTACTGTAGTAATCATAGTCTGTAATGGGAAATTCTTTCTACATAAAAATTATTTCCCCTCAGGTTTCTATCAAAGTCTTGGCGGTTGTAGACACTGTCATCACTACTGCCGAGAATGTGACGGCTCAGGACCTCTTCACTGCAAGTCATGCCCCCCACGTTTCATGTTAGATGGTGGAGTTTGTATGGAATGCCTCGGCTCCCAATACTATGAAGTGAGCAGTGGAAAGT